GGACCAGCTCTACCCCCCGGCGGCGGCGGCGGGCGGGGGCGGGTGGTCCGACGACGGCGCGTACGCGTACCGCGGCGGGGACGCGCCGGAGCCCTACGGCGCCAGGGGCACCACGCCGAGGCAGGGCTCCGGGAGCGCCGCGCTGTTCGATGATTACGGGAGGTCGATTGGTCCCGGGAAGGACAGGGGTGGTGGGGGTGGGGGCGGCGGCGCGGCGAGCCCCAAGGTGGTGAGGGCCGTGCCCAAGGCGGAGACGTCGGAGGACGTGAGGGGCGGGGTGCAGAAGTTCCGGGTCAAGCTGCTGCCTGAGGGCGCCGGTAGCCCCATGGATGTGCTCTGCCAGGTAGTAGTTTGTTGCGACATTGGCATGATGAACAAAAATGGCTGTAGCCAAGGGCTCAAGGCAGAGCTCTTCTCGCTTCTCAGTGGCTAGTTTCGACAAAAAATGATCCTATAGTGCGGAGTTTGGACCATGGTCCATGGAGTTCAGATGCTTTCACTAGGAATGCTCTTTTGCGTAGCATCGTTTGCTTAAAGCTTGCATAGAACATAGCTGAAAATTTGCAGCATGGGTAAATAACGAGCAGCGGACAAACGTGCTAACTAACAAAACTTATGCTTTGAAGAAAAAGGTTGGAATGTTTTAATTTTGCCAAACTGATGCAAGGAGCTTTGTTTGGACCTGTTTTTCGCAAAAATGTCTGCAGAGACTGAAGCGATCATGTAATTTGTTAGGTAGTTTTCGAATGGAAAAGATGAACAATCGTGGCATGTAAGTCTAGGTCAGAACAAAGGCCATGTAGAATTGGTTAATTCTTAGCTAATCAAGTGAAAGGTAATATCAAGAATCATGGGATGGATATTTTGTTGATTAGTAATCAGGATTCATTTAATTTCTTGAAAAATCTGACTTCATTGCACACTGGAGTAGAGCAGGGTTGTTATGCTGTTGTACTTGGTTGCACCATTGCCTAGAGTAATCAAGCGAGAACCACTGCTTATCTTTTTGTACCTCATGCAGGTTGGTTTGGATGGGATTCGGATGCTTGATCCCAACACTAGTAGGACACTGAGGATATATCCCCTTGAAACTGTTACTAGATGGGATGTAAGTCACAAATTCTTGTCAAAAAGCTTTTATTTCTTCTCTTCCTTCTTTGTGATTTATTTTACTAAATATTATAGCATCTGTATCTAGGTATTGGATTCTTCTGTATTTGCCTTTTGGTCGAAGAGTTCGGTTGATCTTGAAGCAAGAAGAATACGGCTGAAGTCAAGCAGCTATACAACCAACACCATTCTGGACACTGTGACAGCTGCCTCTGTTCAGGTTTGCATCTGAATTAATGATACTTTTTATTTCACCCTTTAGTTTGTTGTAATTTTGAGCTGTTAGCATCCATTGTTTATGGAGAAATGTTGACAGTTAGATTTTTTTTTAACCACAGTTCAAGGAGATGGCAAGCAGCGTTTCGAGAAGTAAAGCAGCTGCTGATCCTGCCAGCCCTTCTGAACAGCAAAATGAGAAGAGGAGGAATTTCCTTGATTGGAGGAACTTGGTGAAGCCCGTGACTGAGGAGAAAGACCACTGGGTAAGTTCTTTCTCTGTTTACGTTTGAAATGAGGCTTGCTTCCAAGTGTACATTGAGTTATTACCCCTTATTATTACCAATTTTAATTTTTGTAGAGCCAACAATTATATCCTTGTCTAACTTAATTATTGCCTATTTGTCTGGAATATTTGTTGCTTAGGCAGACTCATTGAAAATTGTTTATCTTTCAGTCAATTACTTCGCTTGTACACATCAAGCTCTTGTAGTGTTTTTTCTCTAGATTATGTAGTTTCTGTATTTAACTCTTGATGAACTGTTTGAACTTTTACCCTGCTCCATTTTTAAGCATTTTATCATGGCAGAAACTAATTCAGCAGGTAAAAAAGTGCAGTGTGATCAGAAATGCATGGAAGTTATTTAGGAGAAAGTTGAGAGTTAATGTTTAATTTATATTTACTTGGCTTACCCAATATTGTAGTTAGAACATCTTATATTTTTGAATCAGAGTATGTCTTAACAATATCATGTTTGCTGACTGATTTATGGATTCCTGGTTGTGTTCTATAGTTCATGTCTGCGCATATTTTCCACTAGTGCATCTCACAGTAAGGCTTCTGCTGTTGTTCAGTTGCTTTGTTGCTTGTTCTCTGCACTGTTGATTTAACTTGCGGTACTTCCATGGGATGTTGTACCTGGATTGCTGTCTGCCTATATTTTTGTCTCTTCTTCCCCACTGATGAAAATGAAAACCTTAGTTACTCTCTCAGTATATTGGTTAAGTGCTTTTGGGTGTACTTCCCTTCTTTCCGTATTCTTATTCATTCATTTTTTTTAGTGGCGTCATCTTGTTTTTTGCATTTTACTGTCAGGTCCCAGATGAAGCTGTCAATAAGTGCACGGCCTGTGCAGGAGATTTCAGTGCCTTCAACCGCAGGGTAAGAACAGCTTGCTATTGGCATGTTGATGATGTATACTCAAAATCCATCCGTTAATGCTGTGGACATATACATTCAGCATCACTGTCGGAACTGTGGTGATATTTTCTGCGATAAGTGCACCCAAGGAAGGACTCCTCTAACTTCAGATGCTGATTCTCCACCAGTCCGAGTTTGCGACAGATGCATGGTAGTTTTCTTTTGCTTCATCCTCTTATATTGCAGTCTTAGCTATGATTTATGTTGTGTACACCTTTTGCTGTTCCATGGTGTTTAGTGAGTATGGACAATAAAAGAACCTTTTGGTATAATCTGTACTTACACTTCATAAGTTTTGAGGCTAAGATATTGAATATTAAATACTCCCTCGGTCCCATAACATAACTTATATTGTGGGACGGAGGGAGTAACTATTAGTTGTTTGACTTGGGGCTTCATCACTCATTGAGAGCACAAGAGGCCTGGACAACATCAAACTTACATGAATTGGAATTGTATATTAGTCAAGCTTCCTTGTTACTGCATGTTGGGGGGAATGAGGGTGTGAGCACCAATGTTTAGTGTCAGTCCCTTTTTCTATCTGTGAAGTAGCTCGTGTTGCAGTCGTGCTACTAGTGGGAGGTTATACCATTTCTGGTGAGTTCTCAACGAATGATACCGGTGTCATGTTTCTTCCATTCCGATAGGCTGAAGTTTCTCGAAGGCTGAGCAGTGCAAAGGAAGCGGCAAATCGACCTGTTGTTCAGAGCCATGAGGATCTCGCCAGAAAACTTCAGGTGTGCCTTTCGGCTTTCTATTTGTTCTTTAGCCAGCAAGTATAGCTTACACTATTTATACAACACACTGTGTCACTTGACTAGATTTGAAATACATATGCTGACATAACATGATCTCTGGTATGGTACAGGAAGCGATGGATATAAACAAGAAGTCATCTTCAGGTTTGTGCCTTCATATACTTGTTCCATTTCACATGCGTCCTCTCCATTGTTCACTATTCTGCTTATAAATAATTGTGTTGGTTCCTTCCTCTGTAGGTTCGAGGTCTTCAGACGGATCTTCTGGCAAGCGAATGCGGGAGGTCGCATGCCCCATCTGCACAGTGCACCTCCAGGTTCATCACCGTCACGTCTCTTTTCACGATGGACGACTTGCGTTTGCCCGGTATCAACATCGAAACACGGCATCTGACCCAAGTCGATCGACCCTTTCCTACAGGTGCAGGTCCCAGCCTCTGGCTCGGAGACGATAGAATGCGGCGTGTGCCAGCACCCTTTCCTCGTGAGCTCTCGTTGAGCACCCGTCGCTCAGAGCTCTTCCACTTTGATCTCTGTCAAGATCCTCCGCGCTCATCGATGCTCTTGCTCCAACCAGTCATCATCATCGTGGCGGCCTTAGGTCGGTGTCTGTATACGAGCTAATTCAGTACAGTTGTGTTCGGAAGCAAGGATGAAAGAGATGAATGAATAAGAGATGTTGTTTGTCCAGTAACTTTCACCTTCTATTTTCGCCGTCTTCTCTTTCCCTTATGTTACTATCAAATATATATGTGTAGCTTCAAGTTTCATGCGATGTCATGTAATGTAATGTAACACGTTGTGGTTTGATTTCTCGCAGTCGGTCCGTTCCCTTTCGTTCTCCGGCGGCCTTTTAAGGCAGTTCCCAAACTAGTCTACTCTTTTTAAGCAAGATGCTATAGAAATATACTCTCTTTGTATCAAAATGTAAGATGTTTTTTGACACTATGACTTTGTCAAAAAAGGCCTTAGATTTTGATAAAGGGAGTATACATTATTTTTATTTGCGGGGTTGTTTCAGAAACCATTGACTTGTAAACAAATAGTACATATGTTTGGGTTTATTGGTCTCCTTCGTATAAATTTGACTAGCAAAATATAAGTTGTGCTCCCTTCGTCCGGAAATACTTGTCATTGAAATGGATGTATGTAGATGTATTTTAGTTCTAGATGCATCCATTTTGATGACAAGTAATTCCGGACGGAGGTTGTATGTCACAAAACTTATTTAGTTGGATTCATATTCTAAACAGGTTTTAAAGATTCTATTTTTGTGGTATATAATTTGCTTTTTGATAGTGAAATCAAATGCCAAAGCTTGACCCAAAATGCAAAAAGGACTAATAAATCCTGACGGAGGTAGTACAAAGAAGTACCCCTCCGTCCCATAATATATGAGAGTTTTTGTACAGTAGTGTCAAAAACGCTCTTATATTTCATGTAAAAGAAGACGCTCTTATATTATGAAACAGAGGGAGTATTCGGTTATGTGGGTTTGTTAAAATTTCACCGAAATAGCTGGCTCGTGTAAAAAAAAATGCAATCCCTCCGTTCGTGAATACAAGTCATTGTAAAGAGTCCAATATGGTCTACATACGGAGCAAAAAATAAGTGAACATATATACTTTAAAAATGTCTACATACGTACATCCGTATGTAGCCCGTATTAAAACCTCTAAGAAAGACTTGTATTTAGAAACGGGGGAAGTATTCAACAAGCGCTCTCGTATTCGTATCATTGACTCCTCACAAAACCTCCTGAACCTGTTTTTTTTTCATAGAATTCAAAAATGTGTTCTTCCTGCCAGGGATAGTATAATATAAACAAAAAGGTGTTGATGCTGAAGCCCAGACCGGCCCGCTCGCATCTCCGCCCGGCGGCCCGGCCCACCCCGCTCGCGTGACCCATCCAAAAGCGGCGAGGCGAAAGCAGCGGAGAAGGAAAAGCGGCGAAGCCTCGAGACTCCTCCCCCCGGTCCCGTCCTGTCTCCCCCGGCCCCGGCGGCTCACTCCCGCCCGACGGCCGCCGGCGAGCGCCGCCAGGGAGGCAGGTGCAGGATATACAGAAGGCGGCGGCGCACGCCCAACCGACCGCGTGGAGCGGAGCGGAAAGGATGGACGCGGCGTGGGCGTGCGCGGTGGACCGGGCCGCCGGCGCCGCCGACTCCACCAGGCGCTTCTTCCTCTCCTTCCGCCGCCCACCGCCTCCGCCGCCCGGCCCCAGCCCGGTAAGCGAGCATGCCCCCCTCCCTCGCCGTCCTCTCGCCCCGTACGGATTCCGAGGGTTTGTGGCCTGGCGCCAGGACAACAATGCCGGCCGCGGCCGGCCCGTCCGAGCGCTCTGCGCATCGCCGGCCGGGCTCGCCGTCTCGGTTAGGAAGGGATAGTGGCTAGTAGCTTCTTCTTCTTCAGATGCAAATCTACTCATAGTGGATAGTGGTACCACAAACCAGACCAGGGTAGTAGATAACCTGCAAAGGAGGCCTTTTTTTTCATGGCAGTGACCACTGGCCGACCAGTGCTGAATATCTGCCAAGATCATATACACCTCTTGCCTGCACAAACTTGTCTGGTGATCTGCTGATCTGCGCAAACGAATGGACAGAAGGGATTGTTCGCTGCTGGTTTCTTAGCCTGGGAAAACAAGTGCCTCGATTACATCGGCGAGGGGGGGATTTTTTTCTCTCCCCCGGGGCTCGAGACACCCGCTGTATTTTCCAGCATACATCTGTCACCATTGCGGCGGTAGCGGGGCACGAATTTGGTTTCCAATTGGTAGCACAGCATTTTCTTCTTCTCGTTTCCTTTGAACATAGGCATGTTTTGTATCCTCTGTTTTTATGTGCATTTGGAAGACGACAAGAAAAACCAACCTGTGTTAACCACTCTGCCTTCTATTCTCTTTGTTGTCTACTCCAGATAGACATCTTGAAGCGTCTTCAGCGACAAGCGTTCCACGACATAATGCAGCTGAGGGACAGGCAGGAGAAGGTCGAGAAGGTGCTCACGCTCTTCAAGTCTCACAAAACCGGCCCGTTTGCCGAAGAGAGCACCCGGGTCAAGGGCCTCATCAATTTCGCCGGAGCCCTGGCGCTGAGCAGCAAAGAAGGCGCGGAACCAGACGGCTCGGGAGCGAATTCCGGCATCAGCTCACAGTTTGCGTTCCGGACCAGTGTCCGGAACAAGGACTCCCTCCTGGCAGAGCTTGCCACCGACTCCAGATACGTCTATCAGGAAAACGATGATCTCATGGGGAGCCCTCTCGTGCTGTCGAAGGTGATGTACGTGGCGAACGTCGGCGGCGACATGTCTGTTGCTGCGGTGCCCGTAGGGGCAAGGTGTGATGATTTTTCGACCGATCCAAGCATCCAGGAGGTAATTGATTTCTTCGTCCATGCACCTGTGCTTATGCACCATCATTTTGCCTGCTGATATATCAGGTGATAGTTTTCTTGACAGGGGCAATGGGTTCCCAGCTCCCATTCCTCGCTGAGGCCGCCTCTGCTGCTCAAGCGTCACAGGCGCGCCGCTGGCCTGATACTGAGGTCGCAGAATTTCGCAGCATCTCTCGCCGAGTTGATCTCAACAGCCGCGAAAAGCAATGGTGAAGCCAGCAGCAGTGTCTTCACCGGATTCGGGCAGATTTCGTGCAAGATGTGTGACGACATCAAGCTGACCATGTCTGCGGCTTGGCACGGGCCGTCTGCGATACCTCGGAAGAGCAAACCGACCGCCGGAGGGTGCGTCGACTTCGAGCTGAAGTTCGACGAGGACTCGAGATTTGGGGCCTGGGTCGAGGTGAAGAGGTCGAACCCGAGGCAGCTGAAGTGGGCGGTCACGCTGTCGGACACGCCGGAGAACGATCTAGGCTGGGGCGTGAGCCTGCGGCGAGGCTCCGAGGGGGCGCCGGAGCGGATGCAGCTGGAAGGGTTTCTGAACTTGCATCTAGGCCAGAATGCTACCCTGCAGCCTGGTGTCATGTTCAACCTGGACGGGAGGCGATGCGCCCCGGCGCTCGTGTTCCGGTCGAGTTGGTTCCTGTGAGGCCTGAGTGAGTGGTTTTGGTGTCACCCCTCCTGAGGATGTAGAGAAGCCATGGTAGATCAGAGAAAGTAGAAACAATCATTTGTGAAGTCTGAAAGAATGACAGTAATTATCACTTTGTATGATGCTATGATAGGTTTTGCTATCATTACCATTGTCTAATGCTATGATTGGTTTTGTTACCACAGTGGTTTCATTATCATTATTCTTATGCTGCCCTGTGACACACGTTCAGAAACAGATATGTGTACCATTTATGTATTTGATGAGTCAACCTGAAACAGATATATGCACCACTTGGAAAAGCAAAAAACATGATCCATTCCATGCTCAACTTTTTTTACATGCAATGTAGTTACAAGTTCGTCGTAAAGATTCGGGCCTATAGTGCATCCCCTATGTCATCTGCAGCAGAATCCACAGGAAATTACAGAAATTTTCCCCTGACTACAACACACCAAGAAAAGGGGTGTTCTACTTTTGCACAACCAAAGAATCGTGATCGAACATTTCGGGTCCAGCCTAGCTTGCCTGCGAAGTTCTTTTTACGGTGGGGAGCTCGACGGAGCTGAGGTCTGCGGGGTACGGAGTCCACAGCCCCAGCCCTCCCCTGCTCTCCTTCAGTCCCTTCTTCAAAATCTCGTCGATCGTCTTGGCCCACTCCACCTTCGACGAGTGCTCCCTCGTGTGTCTGTGCAGGATGAACAAGGAGTTGTACTCGCAGTTGGGGAACATGAAGAACTTGAGAGCGTCTCCGAGCCGATGGGCCACGTAGCCGAAGCTGAGCTGGTCACGGGGCGTGAAGAGGTTGACTTCGTTGAACCAGAGGCAGCTGAACAGGTCCGTTATCATCGTGTGCTCCCTGATCAGCACCGCTCCTTCTGGTATGTCTGCAAGTCGCAGCTTGTTTAATTAGCACTGGGAATTGGGGAACTATGGTAGCACAATAGAAATACACAAGAGGTGGAATGATTCATCAGTTACTTCATACTATACAATAAGCTTTGTATCCTAAGCTTTGCTTAACAGCTTCAAACAAATGTCTAAGTTAATGCGGAAAATGTAAATGGACTCACCACTGGGCATCCTTTTCTTTTCGTCCCAAGGCTCCATTCCCTCGTGGCGGTATATCTTCATCTGAAGATCAACCAAAGGCCGAGCATATCGCTTCCTTCGTTTGATTGCATCACCCTCCTCATATATGCTTCTATGATGCTTATGGATAGCCACTGCAAATGTGTATTTGCCCCGCCAGAGATATCTGCAAAGAGTTTGCCCTGTTGAATCTGTTTCAGGTGTCAAGAAAACAAAATTAACTTCTTTGAAGTTGCAGGTAAACAACCAACCTTTCAAGAATAAGCAGCGGATCAACCATAAGCTCCATTTTCCCGTCAATCCAAATGCTATACCAGGCTTGAGGAAATAGCCTATGCGTCAATATCTTTGGTACTTTTCCATTCCTTCTAGGTTCATCAAATGGAGGGCGGTGCAATGTTACAAGTCGCCATATACCAACCCATTTCCCTCCTGCGCTGTCAACTTTGACAGTGACATTCTGTTCAATGAAGTCAAAGGACACCTCATCGACCACCATCAAGAAGCAGAACAACTTTTGAGAGCGAAGGCTAATATTTGATGGCTGATGAGGAACGTCATAGCCATCAAAAATACCCGAGGCAACCACGAATTTGCATTTCTCTATGTACTCGACATCAACAGCATCCATATCTGCACCACTGTTTTTCATAAATCCACAGTGCACCTGAGCATATATACCAGAAGCCATATCATTCACCCAAAAAAAGAAGTTTCGGGAATTAAAAAAAAAATGCCATTACAACTGAAGATCCAGTACATGAAGAAGATAAGAGGTGGTAATAAGCCATTCGTAATGGAAGACCAATGCCGCCAGTTTACTCTAGACAGAATGAATAGACTGCACACGATATTTTATATTGTGAGCAGGCACTTGAAAGTTCTACTACCAGTGTTCGAACCTTAGTGGATTCTAGTGCGTAGTAACTCTCTTGTTCTACTATTTACTTGTTGGAAGAATTAAATTAGTAGGCCAGTGAATATGAATGTTCAAAAATAAGCTTAATATCTGCATACTTTCCCAAAATTAATTTTATCAATTGTAGCAACCAAACTCCGTAAGATTGAAACAGGGTTTCAAGTAAATTGTGGACTGAAGGGTGTTTCCAAATTCCAACCCAGTTTGAAAACCATGTGGTCCTCATCTGTGAAGCTTCAAAGAAGCCACAGATGCAGAACAACAAGTGCATGGCCAAACATCAAGCTCAAAACATATTCAGAAATCAGAACATAGTTTTCAATTTTAAAAAATAGTACAATGGGGCAATTCCCGAGCTAGAGTCATGCATGTGCTTTAATACTGGACCACTGGTTTAAATGGCAGGATAAATTCATGCATGTTTAAGCACAAATACACTGAATTAAACAGACACATAGTTGTTTTCCCAACATTTATCACTCTCTCTTGCAATTAACCAAAGGGAACCAATTACCTTCATGGTAGCGTTCAGTTTAAAGCTTTCCTCCCTCTGCTTCCAGGTTTGACGTCCTCCGAACAGCGGCGGAGAAACTTTGTCCCGCTTGTCAACCGTGATGTACGACAGCTTCTTCACGATCTCATTGGGAGTCCTCTTTGGAACGACGACAGCGTCTGGATCATCCTCGACAGGTATCGAGCAGCCTGTCGAACAAAGGAACCGACATTTAGACTACGAAAGAGGAAAAATCTAGTGTTAAAAAAAGGTAAGCTATGAACAAATCTTACGGTGGAGGGGTTTGGACGGGTCTCCTGTCGGGTCCAAGGCGTGGACAACTTGACTGTCTTTTCCACAGAGCGCTGCACGGACGCAAAGCATAGCGAGCCATGTCAGGATGACACAGAGTGGTCGTCGCGAGCAGCATTCCCAACGGAGGCGCACGCAGGTACATTCAACTTTGGAATGTGGTACGAAATAAACACACACACACACACACAGAGAGAGAGAGAGAGAGAGAAAAGCTCTAGCACGGCATCGTAACTGAAGAAGCTAATGCGCAGCATGCCGATTGCCGAGGAGATGCATCATCAGTTAGTTAATCGGCCGCAACTTTTAGTCAGGGACTGAATCCCCCTGCCTGCAACCCGCAATCGATAAGAAGAGATAGAGCCCATGCTAAGCCAAAGCCACCGACGCATGCACACGCGAGTGAGGCGCGCGGGTTAATCGCCGGGGTCACTAAACAAGGCAATCCTGCATATGTTTTCCACAGCACACCACGCGCAAGGCAGGAGATGCAGAGGTTGATCATCCACTGGGATTGATTGCCCGACAGGGGCAACCCCAACCAACCCTCCTCTGGATGCGGCGAGGAAGACCCGGAGCGATGCGCGCGGACGGCAATGCTGTCGCGAGCATCAATGGATCGGGCGTCGAGCGGCGGAGTGGAAGCAGGAAGCACGGCGGCCGCGGGCTGGTTGGGGAACTGAGGGAGGGAGGGGAGGGGAGGGGAGTGGGCAGGCGGTGACCTGAGAGGAAGTAGGCGGCGGGGGAGGCGCAGGACCAGAGGTGGAAGGCGAGGAGGAGCAGCGCCCAGGCCACGGCGGAGACGAGCAGGAGCCGCGGCCGCGCCGGCCCCCTGCGCCACGCCGCGTCCCCTACCCCGCCGCCGCCGCCGCCCCCTTTGCCTCGCCTCGCCATTCCCCTCCTCCTCCTCCTCCTCCTCCTCCCCTCCCGCGGGCAAGGGCTAGGGTTCGGGCCGCGCCAGATCGGAGGGAGGGCACTGGTGGATTGGAGCGAGCGAGGCAACAGGACAGGCTGCCCGCTTCTCTTCCTCCTCGGCAGCCACCCGACCGACCAAGAAAGCCCCCCCTCGCTCACAACATGGCAAGAGACGAGAGTCCATCACAGAATTTGGGTGAAATTCATGTGCTCTATCAACATTTTTTTTGATTTTTTTTTTGAAAAACAATGATCAAGATTCAGGCCAAAAGAATGCGATCTCACTCGACTGACCGCCTTTTTTTCGTCGGTTCACTTCGATTATTAAATCAACTACTGCCCACCAAGGTTCAGATCCTGGTGAATTTTCGGCGATGCGCAGTCATGGTGTTTTGCGAAGGACGAGATAGTCTCGCCGCCGCTAGGCCACACCGACGTTGAGGATATCTGCGCCGCAGAGTCTATGATTTTGGAATGAAACACCTTTAAAACGCGCAAGAAAAAGAAGAAAGAAAGAAAGATCGGGCACGCACATTTTCCGCAGGAAAATATGAAGCTGCTCCTTGGAATGCGACACTCGCGAGTGAGTTCTTCTTCGATTAACGTACTGAATATCCCTAAAAAAACAGTAATGTACCGAATTCTCTCATCACAAAATTCACAGGTCGCGCGCATCCCCTTCAAGGGGTAATGCAACGCCCGCCAGGCACAACTCGCGTCCAGTGACCACAAATGTAAGAATTGTGTCGGATAACCAGATTGATCCCCCTTTTGTTAAGTTGGATAGGATCTTAGTTAGCCCCGCTTGGGAGTTAAAAATTCCACTAGTTACTGTCAGGACACTGGTTAGAGGTGTCTCTAACCATGCAGCCTTGTTTATGCATAACGGGGTTAAGACCGTTACAGCTAATAAACCTTTTCGTTTTGAATTATCTTGGTTAACCAGAGATGATCTTGCTGCTGTAGTTAATAAAATTTGGCATTCTAATGTGAATGGCAAGGATAATTTGGCCATTTGAATGCAGAAAATGAGGAATTTGAGAAGATGCCTGAAAGGCTGGAATCTCAATGTGGAGGGGGGCTTATTGGAAAAGGAGAAACACTCTATGTTCTCAACTAGATGATCTTGATAGGAGATGTGAGCTAACTGGGTTATCAGTAGCTGACTATGAACTTAGGAAAGACCTTCAGTGTAGTTTGAATAAGATTTTGAGAGAGGAGGAAATCAAATGGTATCAGCGCTCTAAAGAGAGAGATCTCAGGGAA